CCCTGCCACGGGCCCCCCGCACCGGGCCCACCCATGGGCCCAGGTCCCACCCCAGCCTCAGCCGGACCCCACCGCCCTGTGTGGCCATCCTGGGGCTGTGTCTGAGCCCAGCTCTCCTCAGCAGGCCTGATCCTGACCCCCACCCGCAGGCTGTTGTCCCGGCCCAGCCTCGCCCTGTCCCCGGCCCCACAGAGCTGCCCGAAGGCCTGGGCTGGGGGCAGCCCCGCCTGCCCCTCAGCTGCCCTGCTCCTGGAGGGAGCAGCGGGAACTTTGTCATTAATAGAGCAAGAACTCCATCCATAATTTTTATGTCTACATATGAAATCACATGTTATTTTTTCAACAGTATTATCTGCATTACTCACTGTGTAAAACAGAAAGCACGTATGTTTTAAAATTTATTGTTGTTCCTGCTGTTCAGTGGGAGAAATCAATGTCATTCAATTCCTACTATTTGACCTGCCTATTGAAAGAAATTTAGGAATTTTTCAGGAATGTGTCATAACTTGCAGACGTGGAGTATGTGCAGTTTCATGAAGAGAATTGAGTGTTATAGTTTGATGTTATACTTTACTGGTGTTTACCTTCATTTGTTCAATTTTTCTGTATCCTGCAGGTATTTTCCATGGAATTCTCTCTCCACAGTTAAGCAAAGACAGTTCATGAAAGGCCTCTGTGAAAAATCCTATATCTGTAAGTACTTTAATCTATGAAAAAATAACAGAGCCTTTGATTTAAATAATTTTCAATTATTGTTTTTGCTCAAAATAAAATGTATTCATTTATTCATCAGGTAATTTTCAAGTTGGTTTGGCTACTGGAATAGTACATTAACAGAGAATGTTCTTCAATGGAAAGAAATCTTTTACATTTTATTGTAAATAAGTGAAATCTCAAAGATGGGTCTTTCACTTCTAAAAACAAAAATGAAAAAAAAACCAAAACCAAAAAACATATTCTTCAAAGACTTGCTCCTGACAAAGGAAAAGAACTTAATTAATCTGGCTAGAGCTTTGAGTGTCAGTCCAAGATCAGCCCCTTATCAATAAATTTTAGTCACCTTAGTCTCTTAGTACTCAGCTACTCTCCCTAACCCGTATCAGCATTTCCTGAAAATATCTAAACCCAATAATACTTCAACTCTTACTACAAGTTAGATTCCTTTAAAAAACCACAAGGGATTAAAAAACAAACAAACAAACCAACCAAACCAAACCAAACCAACAAGTGAACATTAGTGAAATGACAGAAGTCTGTTCCCAGAAGTCTGACAACCAGGTTCCACCATGATACTGATAACAAATCCAGAAGTGAACATTGTGAACAAATAATCATTCATGTTTTGCACTTAAGAAAACACTTAAAAGAATGGTGGAACAAGATACAAAATACTACATAAGAAGTTTGGATCTAAGAGGGAAAATCTTACAATCACATCTTTAAGGAGAATGCTTGTTAAATGGAGAGTAGAAAGAAATGATGGAAGTACTTAACAGTGTCTGTAGGACATTAACAGTAAAACTGTATAACTCTACATCCTACTAAAATGGAGAATATAAATAATAATTACATTTAGAAAGTAGTCCTATTCTACAGTCTGTTGTGCTAAGAAACACTAAGCAACAGCTGAGCTTTAAAGCATTACTTTTCATAGTTGTGATATATGAAGAAATATTAAATCAACTACATTTAACAAAGAAATGAAAAGTTCATTTGAAATACAATGTGCTGTGATAAAAAGAAAGTTTGTTTGATTACCTTGAAGATTCTTCCTTCAATACATTTAGCTGGGTCCTTACAAATCTCAGAAACAATGTATTGGTATAATGTGAACAATGGTAAAATCTGTAGGAAAATATTAGGTCATCTAGTTATAAATATCTTAAAGGGTACAATTATAGAAATGTACATTGCAGTTATATATCAGAAATATATAGATAATACAGGAGTACTGCTTTCACTGCCATATATGACCACTACTTTTCTTATGCTGTATGAAGGATGAATGTGTTAAAAATCCTTCAGCTGGCTACAGCTAACCCCTTATACCATCCTATGTGTGCTTCACAATGTAGAAAGTGAAGTTTCCCCCACTTATTCTCTGTGTTCAAGGTGTGGTTTTTTTACTCTACCATTAGTGAGTAAATCTACTGGACAGATGTTGCTATAAGGTGTCTTTAAAACTGCCTGCATTTTGATGCCATAATTTTTTTGGTAGAAGTAACAGAATAATAGAATTCTGTAAGCTTTCTAAAATAAACACAATTAAGTCCTGCAACTGTCTAGGTGAAGCAATACCAATTGTAAAATAAACTGGATGGTGATGTGGCTTATCCACAAATCTATTTGCATTCATTTCAAATTGAAAGTTTTTGTGGGGGCAGCTAACAAGAAACATTTTAAAACTGGGTTCTAGTAAAGTATACAAACACTGCATTTATTATTATATAATATTTCAGAAAAAGCAGATTCTTTCCTAACAGATGTATTTGTTTATTGAAAATGAAAGAACTTCCAAAATTTAATTACTGTCCAGCTTTTACATTTTTCTTCACTCTAAAATGTCCCCGAGCTTGGAAAATGCTAACAGCATTGTTACTTTTTTGTCAAATGCACTTTTAGTTTTCATAAAGTAGCTTAATACTTCTGAATTTGGATTACAAATGCTTGAGGCAAATGTTTTAATTGTACCCATACAGTTTCCAGCTGATATTTGAAGTAGTTCAACAAAATTAAGTCTTTGAAGTCTTATTTTTGATAAAACTTGAATCTTGATGCATTTTGATTTAAGCACCAAATCAGATTAATGCCCACCATCCAAAACATTCTCACACATTAAGTATTCAGTGGAAAT